AACTATTTTTTTCAGATCTTTCAGTAAATCATGGATAACAATAGTAGAAAGTCGGAATAAGGTTATATTCTTGGCTAAACATTTGGCGGGAAATATTTCTGACTAATGATTTTTTTGGACTTTGCGAGACCAATTACTCCGATTTGCTTGTAGATACCTATTTTGACTAAACTGCATATTGATAGCAGTGCAAACGACTATCACAAAAATGTTTTTCTGTGGACAAAAACTACCGCACTTTTGAAAAACGACTCGCTGAAAATGGCTAAAATTTAGGTCACGCTCATTAACGATTCGGCGGCGATATTTGGCACCTCGTGAAAACCGTAGTATTAAAGCGAAAGACCTCAAATATATCTCAGTCAACTAATAAAGGGACAAATATTATCGCACGAAAATAAGAATTTCTGGAATTTGTACGAAGTACCTTTTAGGCTCACCTAAAGTTGCCCGAAATTTGGGCCACTTTAGACCGCTTGAGAGGCCAAAATCATGATGTGGTGATATCTCCAAGAAAAACGAACGCCTACCTCAGCAAGTGTCATGGTTGTTAATCTTTTCGGATAGCATTTATACTGTGAAAAGATGAAGGTAAACGGCCGACCTCGATCTTTTGGTCCTGCCCAGTTTTCCCCGACAATGACACTTAACTTGTGAGACTAAAAAACTATCGTCCACGGCTTTGTTACGTTGTAGGGACTTCAACTAGTCCACAGTTGTGCAGCCAGGCTTATCCGCCTCTCAAAAAAATTTGATCATGTTACTCCGTTGCTCAAGAACCTTCACTGGCTTCCGGTAGAACAAAGAATCATCTTCAAAACTACACTCAAGGCTCTTCGTGGTGAAGCATATCAATATATCGTAGATCTGCTCAAGCCCTACAACCCAGCTAGAACACTTAGATCGTCACTCAGAATCTTCTTTACAAGCCAAGTTTCAATTTAAAAGACTACGGGGGCTGTTCATTTGCGGTGTCGGCTCCAACAGTGTGGAACATACTTCCAAAAGATATTACAGACTCGTCTTCTACGAACATTTTTTGAAGTAAACTGAAAACGTGGCTTTTTATACCAGCATTTTCAACTTGAAGTTTTTAATTATATATCTTTTTAAATCTTTATCTGTTTTTGACATTTTTGCAATTTTTTATAGTATGTATTTGTTTATAGATTTAATTTCTTGTAAGCGCCATTGAACCTTTGAGAAATGGCGCTATGAAAACTTTCGTATTATTATTAATAAAGAATTGATAGTTAACCTTTGTCTTGGTATCATCTCTCGCGCGAACATGTCCTGCAAAACACTGTAGCGCTAAAACTCGTACCTAGGTCTTTTAGCGCTGTGCAAAGATTTTTCTGATTTACACACAATTTGACAAATTATCTGTAAACGAGAAAAATTGCACTTTGTATCCATTTCAAAATTCACTTTTGCTTTTTTCGAATTTCGTAAGGAAATTCATTTTATTTTTCAGTTGAAACTGTGTTTCCATTTTAGCGTTGGTTGCCCTCCCAGGTTGCTATTCTGACTACAATGGAGTCAGCGATAAAATCGGGAAAAATACAATTATTACTGCGACAGGAGACTTTAACACAGTATAGGAACTGTAAAGGCCAGTTCACAATGTTTATTTTCAGCCTATGTTCAGCCTATCTCGGCGTTATAATACTCAAAAATCTGCTGAAAGTTCAGTTGGAGAG